TTGTTTTCACTGTTATAAATCTATGTATAATGTAAGAAAAATAAGATTTGGTCTGCTATACCTTAGGGAGTTGAGGTTCAAAAATAAATCAAACCAGTATAACTACACTCTCTGGAGCAGTAGAACACAACAGGACTTTATGCCACAGGATAACACTGTCTGGAGCAGTAGAACACAACAGGACTTTATGCCACATGATCATACTGTCTGAAGCAGTAGAACACGGCAGGACTTTATGCCACAGGATCACACTGTCTGGAGCAGTAGAACATGACAGGACTTTATGCCACAGGATCACACTGTCTGGAGCAGTAGATAACGACAGGACTTTATGCCACAGGATCACACTGTCTGGAGCAGTAGATTACAACAGGACTTTATGCCACAGGATCACACTGTCTGGAGCAGTAGAACACAACAGGACTTTATGCCACAGGATCACACTGTCTGGAGCAAGTAGAACATGACAGGACTTTATGCCACAGGATCACACTGTCTGGAGTAGTAGAACACGACAGGACTTTATGCCACAGGATCACACTGTCTGGAGCTGTTGAACATGACAGGACTTTATGCCACAGGATATTAAGCTTTAATAGAATCATCCATACTGCTGTATTGAAAATATAACTTTTCCACATTTTAGGTAAGAAAGTGACAACAAAAAACATTTGTAACAAAAGTTATTTATTTTATAAATATTTTGGTCTTAATTACAAAAAAAACATACAACAATGAAAGAATGTTTTAACAACTAGAAAAACTAAGCAGAGCCCAAAAATTAATACCATTTATACAGAAACAATGAGAATTTGTGAAAGTTTCATTTAAATCAGTCATAGTATAAGATAGGTTGCATATACAAGCAACTATTTCATTTGTAGACATATTATGAATTAGTCAACTTAAACCAATGTCCGGAATTCTTGAAAAGTCTATAGGAACAGTTTAAAGTCTTATCAACTTAAAATTTAATCACTCACATACAAATTTAACAAATTAGGGAATTTGGAAGGGAGCTCTTCCCCCCCCCCCCCCTGTCCCCCAAAAAAAATTAAAACCAAAAAAAAACAAAAAACAAAAAACCCCAGATAATAGGAAAAGGAAATGGAAAGCTGAGCTAACCTTTATAGGACTATAAGTAAAGATCTAACTATAATAAAGTCTCAAATCTTTCCCCAACTTTCAATAGAAAGATCAAATAAAAAAATTAACTTAGTGTGCAGCACTACATTGAAAATACCTGGTAGGACAAATTGTTGTTATCGAATATATATATTGTAGGAAAATCATTTACTTTTATCTGAAAACACCATAAAATGTAATTGTCTATCAACTTTTACCAAGTCAAGAAGCAAAGAAACTGAAACCAGTTAAATAACTGATAAAAACACCCTTTTAATTCCCAGTCGTGTTAGAGAAGTCAACCTTGCTGCTTGGGTGCAGACTGGAAAAGAGACAACAAAATTAACATGAAATAAATAATTTAATATTACATGGATTTGAATATAAATATTCTGTAATAACAAACGCAGGATATCACAAAATGATATCCATATACTAAACAAATTGCACTTCATAGAAAAATATATCCCATAAAATAACTTGTATAACTTTATTTGTCCAATAAAATTATAGTATTTTATTAAAAGAAAAGGTATGACTGTTACCTAGGAAAGATTAACACAAATTTTACATTTGTTATTTGGTTGTAAGAATTTGTATGCCAAAAATCAAAATGTTGTAAAATAATAATTATGTTAGTTTTTTTTACACAAAAAGAGTAACCAGCATAGATTTAAGTTGAAATAAATTTTTAAAGAATAACAAGAGTGCACATGCTGATATGTCTTGGCTGCTTTACTTTCTGTGATTGAACTTGTGTTGAAAGTCTGTAATATGAAGGTTTTACTACCAAGTACCGCATGAACTTAACATTATTCATGGAAATGAGGTCAAGATCAGGTCCAGTCAGAGGTCAAACAGACAGGTACACCTTGCACCAAATATAGTGAGCCTATAGCTAATATCATCTGAGAAACAGACCTTATTACAAAACTTAACATCGACCAATGAACTATGAAAATGAGATCAAGGTCAGATGAAACCTGGCAGACAGACCTGTAGACCTTACACAAAGCATCTACATACAAGGTATGAAGCATCAAGGACTTCTACCCAGTGGGAAATCTAATGAACGAAACAATAGAAAATTCACTATTCTTATGAAAAAGTTGAGAAAATCAATAATAAAACAATGCTAGTGACAATACTGATCAAAAGTTATTTCCAAACAACAATTGTACATTTAAAAGAAATTATTTGTTAAACTGTGTTATTAGAAATATACATGCAAATACATGATGTATTATGTTCAGTATATATCGAGATAATTGCATTAAAAGCTTTTAAAACTGAAGTCTAAGAAATGTTAATCTTTGCTGCATATTGATAAAAAAAAATTGGACAAAATCATGTACATACAAAATCTAAAGATCTTTTGGGTCATCAATTTTCAGGGTGTTCCACAAAGTACTTAGCATGTTACAATTTCCCAAAATATTCTTATTTTTCACATCTAAGTTTTCGAGTACACTGGTCTGCCCTTGTCACGTGAACATTCAAATATAGAAATATTGTCTTTTCGTGAATATAACAATTTAAGTCTGTATGTGCAGGTTCAAAAAATTAAAGATAAATATTTTTATGAAGTAGGTATGTTTTTTACTATTTTTTTATACAATTTTAAGATAAATTACTTTGCCGAGCGCAGCTGGATACGACCACAGAGGTCCAACCCTGAACAGTTGGGGCAAAAATGGACACAATATTCGCGCTTGATACAGGTCTGAACTTGGATTGTAATTCAATATTTGACACATAATAGGTTTCTGACACAGAATAACTGTAGTTTAAAGAACTTAGAATTGGTTATATGATTTGAATTTATATTCAATTTTTTGCTTTTGAGCAATACACTATGCTGTTGCAAATTGACCTCCCCCCCCCACCCCCCCCCCCCCCCACTTTTTTTCAAAAAAAAAAATTTGAAGGATTTTCTTTTTGATTTCTGAAATCTTGAGGAGAAAAAATTGTCCCCCCCCCCCCCCCCCTCTTTTTCCAAAAAAAAAAATTCTTTCCCTCAGTCATGGTCATAATTTCAATTCAAATTTCAAATGGAGTTTGCAACCATAATAACCCATTTAAATACATCATCAAAGTTTTAAAATAGAAAATGACATACATAATCATAGCTAAAATTAATTTACCGTAATCAGCATTTTTAAAATTATTAAAATAGTAACTTCTAAAAATGAATTGACAGCTAATCACCTCAAGACAATACAAAAATTCTTTATACATAATTTAAAAGCAGTGTAAGGGAGGTAATTCAAAGTAGTTTTTGAATTACCTCCCTTACACTATAATTTGTAATTAAGTAATTGTCCATTAACCAGGACACCCTTGTTTTTTCTCACTTTTTTGCACCTAACTCCTAAACGGTTTGAGCCATAACCCCCCAAAGCCAATCCTAACCATCCCTTTGTGGTATGGAAACTTGTGGTATAATTTCAGAGAGATCCATACACTGTTCTACAAGTTATTGTCATGAAACTAGAGAAATGCTTATTTGGGCCCCTTTTGGGCCCCTAAATCCTAAACTGTTGGGACCATAACCCCCAATATCAATCCCAACCTTCTTTTTGTGGTTATAAGCCTTATGTTTAAATTTCATAGAGATTCATTCACTTAAACTAAAGTTACTGTGTGAAAACCAATGTGTCTTCGGACAACAACGACGCCAACGTCATACCAATATACGACCGCAAAATTTTTTTGCGGTCGTATAAAAAGGTTGTCTCAATTTTTGTACAAGTATTTGCGGTCTTCTTGATCTATTCACATTCAATGTTTACATTGGGATGAGGTCCGTTTGAAGTTGCTTAGTAACTCAATTTCAAAAGTGTTAATCTTTGAATCAATTGATTCCTTTGAAATTTTTTCCCTGAACTTCTCTGATCTATTTGCATATACATACGGATAATAAGCATGTTCCAGAGAGGTTTTACAGCCAGTAGAAATATAAATTGAAGTTGGTACTCCAAGGATTTATTTGCATAGCAACATTTTAAACCAATTTTACATCAAGCTCCTATAGCCAGCTGTACTCGTCGTTTGCTATTTAAGGAGGGAAATGATAACATTAAATGGAAATTTTGTTTTTTTTTAACTTATTTCTATTTTTACTATTTACCAGAGCTTTTTCCTGTGAATTTATAATTGATGGCATCCTTGCTAAAACGGGACAAACATTGAATAGATATAGTTTTCAGTGTTTACAGGGGAGGTAATATTTTGTCACTAGATTTTCCACTGTACCTTCTAAATTATAAAGCTTTATACAAACATGGCACAATAAATTTTAGTATACAGAATGATAGAAAATTATTGATGTTCATGAGTAGAAAACAAATGTATTAATTTTGTTGCATTGTCTTTAATGACAATAAGAGGCACATAACTTCTGAAACAGGTTAAATCTTTGTACAATGCTAAAAGAATCACTTCTCAATATGGTAAATACTTTGAGATTTTTATTTTTGTTTTTTGGGGGAATATTTTTCTATTTGTTCCCAATTTAGTAGAAATAAACAGTTTTATTAAATTCAACTGCAGAATGTTTAAGTGTAAAGCAACACCATACAGATCATAACAAAACTTTAGTGTTCGATTGTCAATGTATATTTGTTCCTCCTAACAGAAGTTCCCCTGGAAACTTTCTTATAAACAATGTCATACATTTGTTAATTCCTATTGCAACAAATACCCATTATTCTGTTAAGAACAAATACTATAATATTTGTTCCAGTGGTCAAAATATCCTCGTATAGACTTCATACAACGGCTACAATTGTTATTATTATTATTATTATCAATAATACAACAGAAATAGAGCAGAAATTCATTTGATTGGTTGTTAATATTGTGTCACAAAGTATAGAGTTTTTAGATTTTTATTTTTATATATTTCAAAAATAACTTTGTCCTCAGTCGTTCGAAATAAAAAAAAACATTCAAGTTTTGACCAATCTTAGCAAAGCTCAAATGACTCCCAAGTGTAATGAAAAACACAAATCAAAGTATCCATTTTATTAAAAGTCTCCTAAAAGAAACCTATATATAGATTGGATTATTTTTGAGGAGTTAAGATTTCACAACTTCTAGGAGTATCCCTGATTCTAAGGAATGTCTTCATGATTTTATCTTACTTCCAAAATAAGAGGAAATAAACCCCTCCTTAACACATTTCAATTGTGATCTCACACAACTTTGGTTCCTGAATGTATTGTAACATAAAAGTTAGCAAAAGATGATATAAATAATATAACAATGACCCACATGGACCTTCAGGTCAGATGAGCTAACGACTAAAAATATTGATAATCATTTTTTCCAAGATCTTTTATTAAAAAACAAACATAGATTGTACAAAAATGGACATAAATAAATGCATCTTACCATATAATTACAAACAAACTATGGCAGTGACTTTGTATTAAAATGCTATTGATAAAATTCCTCATGAAACATTGTATTGTTAAATATAAACAATGACAAACTATTTTACAATGAACTGAAATGATAATATATAATGAAAATAAATTATAATGAATTTAACTAAAATGAAATGGCTGCTATCATAAAGTTTTCTATTGCATAAATCACAGAAAAATGAAACTGATGAAAAGTCTCTGTCTGAACAAGTGTAGATATTCAAAATTGTACAGACCGACCATATCATGGTTATGTCAGAATAATAATGTATTTACAGAATGCAAGATATGTGATAATAAATGTAATTTCAGGTTTTAAATATTTGTCAGTATTTAAGCATAAATCTAAAAATTTTCCTTTTTTTTTATACATTTTTAAATTCATACCTATGATTTTCTTTTTTTTTTAACAGAGAATGGCAGGCTTTTATTTTTATTTTCATTTTGCATAATTTATTGACTAAATTCTAGCATAGTATGTAAAACCTTCAACCATTCACCATATCTAAATCTTTTTTAAAAAAATTTTAAATTTATGAAATTATCAAGAAATCAGACAAAATGCTAACCTGTGCCAAAACAGATAGCTAAACAGCCAAATACAAAATGTACTAAATATAATTTCATTCACTTTTAAATCAGAAACATAACATCTTCTGGTGCAATGTAATTCAACCATAGGAACTTTTCTATCACTGTTCAAATGTCTTTTTGTATATCACAAAATGAATTTCTGTGTTCCATACCAATAAGTTAGTCAAATATCCAGTTATCTCCCTGCATGAACATCTATGAATTATCCCCCTTGATGCTGTTGCTCAATTATGATGCTTGTAATGCCTCAAATAAATGACTTTGATATGAAATCATGAAGTTGCAAAATTACTGTTGCTTTTGACAAACTAGTGCAACTCACTTGTTGACATTAAATGGAGAATGAATCAAATGGAGAATATCACATGACATGCTTCAGATCAAATGAAATGTTATATGTGTTGATATGCTATACAAATTCTGGAGAAGCACCATCGTCATCATCATCCATGTATTTAATAGACGCTAATAATTTTCTACTATCACTGTCTGAAAAACTAGAGTTTTGACTTAATTGTAACGGTTTTTCTTCTTCTTTATGGATTTCTTCTGTTTGCTGCAATAAAAAAACATATCCACATTAAAATAGTAAGGGTCTAATGTTCATACAAAATCCAATAGATGAGTATTTACACTCTCTATCAGAGGCAAAAAGAGTTTTCTTGACAAAAAGTATTCAGCAGATGTTGTGAATGCATGATAGGACAGTATTTTTAAACACATTTTGATAAATAAATTATCTTTAAAGTTATCAATGGAAATTCTGAAAACTGAAATTAAGATATTTTCATCTTATTCATGAAAATTTTAAACAAAACATGTATAGTTGTCTCATTGGCACTCATACCACATCTTATTTCTATGTATGTTTCATAAGATTCCAGGGGCCTCCATCCAGTCGTTTAAGGGGTTCATCTACAGTATCACTAGACCTGTCAACACTAAGGTTCTGTGTTCAAACCCTGCAATTGGCAGGTGCATTCGACTCTGATCTTAATTGACTAGGATTGACATTTCTCTTGCTGAAGGTTCTTTTTCTCTCTGGGCACTCCAGCCTCTACCACCAATTAAAACTGGAGCCCCAAGATAGCCAAGAGTGCTGAAAGTGGCATTTTACACCAACAATCAATCAATTAATCATAAGATTCTGTTACTTTGATTGACATACAACCATCGCAAGAAATTCCAATATTATGATTTGTTTCCCAATAAAATGCAAATTTTTTGACTGCATGTGCTTTCCATGACGGTTACAATAATGCATACACTTGATTTTAGTTGAAATTTCATTTTTATAGCAATTATTAGAATTGAATGTTTTGTTCTTTTATAGGATTGTAAAAGTGTTGTTCGTGTGCACATCTTTAGTATGAAGCACATCTGCACTTAATACAAAATGTGCTTCGGTCAACCTTTTACACCCTAATAAAATTACAAAAAGAAGCATTCAATTCCTAGTTTAGAGTAAAAATTAAGAGAAATTGACATTTATAATTGAAATTTAGAAAAATATAGCAGTGTGAAAGTTTCACGAGGCCTCGTAGTAATGTTTATAGGCTTAAAGCAGTATTGGCAAATGTAACAATTTATTTGTTTTAAATCAAATGTATGGTGGCTCCTTTAAAGCTGTATATTGAAAAAAATATAATAGGTTTCCATATTTGGTTGATTACCACCATTACACATGTGCAGTATTTTTAATTAGAAAGCACCCAATTCAATGTTAGTAATTTTCTCATCTACAATATGATCAATTGAATTAACACATCTTGTAGCATAAAATAAATGGCTAATTACAAGCTGGGGATACAACAACTAATACCCAATTATTTATAACAAGTTGTTTTCATCAAAGAAATCATAAGAAGATCATGTGTTTTACAAATTTATAGAACAGATTATTGTCATTGAAAAAAAGATAGTGATAAAACCTTAATATACACAGCAAGTCTAGTTGAGCAATTTTATTAGACACACTTTCAGTGACATATACATCTACTAAGAAAATATGTGAAATTTGACAACAAGCTAATATACTTACAATCTACTCATTCTATTTAATATATATTTGTGTTATAATTTATAAATTGTAAAATCTTGTTGTTTTTGCATCTTCATTGCTTTTTTTTTTTTACTTTGCTTTTAAACTCTATATACTGTAACTTTCTTAAAAGTCTCCATATGATGTGTTTTTATGCTCATCTCCATCCAGTGAGCGTCAACTTTTGATTTTTGTGATTATTTTCTCATCTATCCGATTTCTTGTTATTTTAAAAATATAACATGCTTAGGTCTTTAGTTTTCTCTTTGGAATTTATAAATATTTGTAAATCAGGACATTGGTTTTCACTTTTGGATTGTTTCACATTTTGTCATCTCAGGACATTTTATAGCTAACTATACAGTATGGGTGTTGACCATTGTTGAAGACCTATATGCTTACATCCTAGTCCTTTGGTCTCTGGTGTATAGTTGTCTATTTGGCAATCATACGACATTTCCTTAGTATTATATCACTTATAGTCACCATGATTGGCTTTTGTTACATTTTGAGTAAGAATTACATAGGTATGAAGTTTTCCAGATTCTAAGCTAGTAGATTTACTTACATTATAAGGTAAAGAAGTTAATGGAATTGATTCAACATAACTATCTCTGTTTCTGCTAGTTAAGGCAGGCTGTAATAAATAAAATTGTAACTTAATATAATATACTGAATGCATGTTAGTATTATAAAACATTAGCACTATATAAGCATTATGGTTACAAGAGCGCAATTGTTTGTTTCCATTTCAATTAAATGGCGAAGATGGTACTCAGAATAAAATCTTATGGGACGCCTGATTGGATGATACAAGGTAGGAATTATTTTTAATTGAAAGCTTATCCAATTAGATTTAAAAAAAAATAATAGAAAATTAAAGTCATATTTAACAAAGTGTAGGAAAATGTTCAATTTATTTACGAGGGAGCCATTAAAAATTGCCTTTCTTATTAAATGAAAAAATAGGTGGTTTTTTTTCAACGGCATTTTATGTCAGTTTTTGCCACATGATCATATATTTTTTTGGATGTAATAAAAAGCTTTCTAGTAAAAAGAACTGCTACAAATGTTTTTGTAGTTTGTTTATTCTTCAAGAAATAAAATATGGAACACCACTGGTACCCAATGGAAAATGCATTACAAATATTTGCGCTCTTGACACCTTATATTTAAGTAAGCAAGTGAAATCATGAAAATTAATCAGTTATCTCCTTCTAACAATTGTTTCAAAATACATGAAGTCATTAAACCTGAAAAAAAAACAAATGATGTTTTAACATTTAGATTCATTGTTCTTTCCATATATATATACATTATTTAGTTAAATACAGTTACATGTAAAATACATGTTATACAGTAGACTCATACACTAGGCAAGTAGAATTACCAGTATGTAAAGACCAAGATTAGTGGTTTTACTCTTAAATCATTCATGTACAATAACAACTAACCTTGTAATTGCCATTATTGAGATCACCATTATTATATTGTATTAGTTGTTTTTCTTTGTTTTGTTTTTCTCTATCTTTTCTTCTTTTGTATCTGAAAAAATAGAACAAATCGTTATGAAATATTCTACATAATCTTATTCTTATGATATGCAATAGTTACCAGTATTACACTATTCAAAATAAAAAGGAGTACTGTCAGAGATATTTTCTATTTAGCTTTAAATTTTGAACTGTGTCATATCTGAGTTAAAAAGCAATCATTTATTTTACAATATCAAACAATTACTTTTCTACATTCAGTTTGCCATGAACAATGTTGAAATCTCCAACTGTAGATTGTTCCAGCTTAAGCTGTTTCAAAGAATTTAAAAGAATTATTTCCATCTTGGAAACATTGACAACTCCTTTGAACAAAAATATATTGGTTCAAGAAAGGTGCATGTTGGTGAAATATATTTCCTCCATGCATTTTTGTGAAAGCAAAAGCTATTTGAGATGTTGTCATACCCCACTGTAATCATCACTAATGCCTTGTATTTTTGTTTTTAATAATATTTCTTACATCTTTTTCCCAGTTTACATCATTTTACATTTTCCAATTCTTAAAGATTAAAAAATGACTATAGGTGCTTTTTTTCTCACTTACCGCCTGTGCCAAATGAGTATAAATATTAATACTGTTAAAAATAAGATGAGAGCTGTTAATCCTGCAGCTAAACCTGCTTTTGTCACTTTCTCTTCATTTTCTCCTACAAAATAAAAAAAGATTATTGATAAAATCTATACTGTAAATAATTTTTGTAATAAATTCCAAATTGTTTGTGAAGTTTTAACAGGTAAATATGTAAGAGGATTTTACTATTTGGTAGACTCCAAACACAATGTACATTTCATGGCATCGATTGACACAATTTGAGCAAGAATTATTTCCCTTTTGATGCCATGATGGAGGTCTATGTGCACAAATTCTTTCATTAATCAGCCAAATTCAACTGGCTATACTGACTGCTAGATTTTAGAAAAACCTGGTTTCTAAATACTTTAATTTTATTTAGCCTTGCTTGATTCTTCAATATGATCTAGCAAGAATCTCTCATCAGAATTGGTTGCTCCGCATGTTTCAATTGTTTAGTCAAATAAGAACTCAAAAATGTTTGCCAAGAGAATAACTCAAACTGAGTCATATTGAAACCTATCTATTGTCTCAGAATATAGGAAGTTTGGAAATATACACCATGTGACAAAAAACTCTATCAAATGGTTACCATTTCACACAAAACTGTGTATTAAAGCAATGTTTTATTTCAAAACTGTACAAAAATTATCCAGCTCAAGAGAAATAGAATACAAAATAGATTGTATCAACATTTGAATAATGAATAAAAGGAGACACTACCCTACAACAACAAAAAATCAGAACTTCTAGTGGTAAACATACATTTTAGTTGAAAGAAACACTCTGCTTGTAAGAACTAAAAATGCAGCTTAAGTCTGACTTTTTTTTAAACATTTATGTAATTTATCTATATATTCAGACTATGTTTAAAGCCACAATTTATCTTGTATTGCATCTGAAGTAGGTTGGACAATAAATAAATATTTCTGTTTTTATTTCTCCTCTTTCTCTGTATACACTCCATTAATGAAAATTTTAAGCGATGTAAGTATGTGTTCTAAACCACCTAACATTATAAATTCAATCATAAAAACAAGTGAGGAGAATTATCTTCCTTCATGCTATCTTCATATGATATGTGTTTTGAAGCTCATCACATGTTTCATACAGTCCTGTTTATAAAACAGACTAACAGAACATATCCTTGAACTTCATCTGACCATAACTTACATGGTGAATGGAAACAAAACATTTTAGATAAGTTGCATGCTTGCTATTACTTTTCTTGTAAATGTTCAATTAAATAATTGTGTGTGTCACCCATGTTTCTTTGAAGTTTGAACCAAACTAAAATACAACATGTGAGGTCCCCACCCAGTTTTGATTACTTTAATTGATTCATCAATTTTATAGTTTTTCAGATAAATTGGTCAAGAGAATATCTGACACATAATGATGTATTTAGTAACTGATGTTTACTATACAAAATCAATAATCAACTATGACTGTTAATTGTAAGGTCAATTTGGATTCTTAGTTAAAATCATCAAAATAAATATAATTTTGAGGGGACAAATTATCAATTGAAAAATATATTATAAAATGGTGTGATTATTCTTCCGACAACCACTCAATTATTTTATTGGACTGGACAGTTTATGATAGATATGCATCTGATATAAACATTAATAAGAAGCTTGTAATAGTTTGACTTTCTCTTTTTAATGCTTGTTTCAAGAAATTTTATCATTAACTTCAAATATTTGTTTTTAACTCCAATAAATACTCAATTCACTGTAACGTATTTCACCGCATAAATGAAGTTTAAATTATTTCGCACATTTCTTATGATGCAACCCACTTCTTCTTAGCTTCAATTTTTCTTTTTTCAAAGGTGCATTTTTGTACAATTAAGTTCAGTGTATTTTAAATTTTTTGCATAATATGAAGACCCCCTTATGAATCAGCCTCCATAAAGACATACTAGATTGGAAACGCTGGCTTAATGATATCTGTAGTTGCCTAATGCCTAGAAATTTGCTCATTTGTGCAGCAAATTGAAATTATCATTATTTATCAGGTCCCCCCTTGTGACCAAAAAATTTGTGTTTTTCAGCACATTTCTATTTTACAGCCCGTCCTCCTTTTTTGGCAAACATTTTAGGTAGGCCCCTACAGGATCTACCTTTTTTGAAAATCCTAAATCAACCACTGTTTAATCACAACATAACTGTAATATAGTTTGCTTCATTTAATGTTTTTCAAATCATATAAAGTTACCATGTATTTTAGAAAAAAGTAAAAAAAAATATGATAATGACATCCTTTGACAAACAACTTAAATAATTTATACTTACTACCAAATATAATGGTAGGATCTATCATCTGACAACGGTCACCTACATATTTCTTTGGACACCTGAAAATCATACAACTAACTCAATAAGAAACAAACAAAACATTTTTAAAAAATAAGTTTTTTTTTTATAGTAAAATCTTCAACATACTGACAGTTTGTACACATTCTGCTGATGGTAGTAACTTAATTAGAGATACAAGTTTCCTATTCATGATTAAAGATTTATGTCTGATACTTCAGATGAAGTGCAGCAATCATTGCTCTTCTCTGCCTATTTATATATCCTGCCAAATCAAATGAACACCGGATATGTGGTAAAGAAATAACAAAGCAGAGAATTATGCCTCGGCTATATCACATGTATACACTTATAAACCAAACATCAGTGTAAACTGTAGGATTTTGGAATGAAAGACAGAAGAAATCACTACAGATAAACATGGATAACCCTATGATCTGGCCGCTTAGTGGTTTGAGCTGAAAACACAACAGCAAAGCAACTTTTTTTCCAGGACATGCATTATATATCAGTTTTGAGTATGAATGAATCTTCAATTTGCAGTTGGTACTACAAGTTCTCCTGTTGCTTGAAAGTCTTCAAAAAATACTTACGCACACTGTATGGTCCTATACTCTACATATGTGGCAAAGCATGATCCACCGTTCAGACATGCTGTCTGATATGTTTCGTTCTCTGTACATGATAATCTGTGATTTTCTGGTATTGTAGAATTTTCACTAGATCGAGGTGTAGTTGCTGGTGGTGATGGTTGAGAAGGAGTTCTACCACAGCCCTCTGAAAATTATTCAAAAATACTTTTATTTGTGACATTCTACTTTAAACAATCAATCATTTATTGAAACATTCCATGTTGCTACCAATTTTTTAAATTTATTTAGGATGTATTCTTATATGGAGCTGATTAATTTGTCATAATGTATAGAGCACATTATGGTCAAGTACTGGATATACTATATACATTACAAATCGACTACTGTGGATTCATTTATTTTCATTGATACAATTTTCGTGGATCAAGGAAAACTTGTTTCTTCATGGATATCTAATTTTGTGGATTTGCCAATGTCTGTATACAATCCTATAAAAAATGTGTACTTTGGGGAGACATTTAAATTTGTGGTTTACCTATACACAAGAAATCCACGAAAAATTGGTATCCAACAAATAATGAATCCACAGTAATGTATATGTTATTGCATTTTGTGCATGGAAGCATCATATTTTATTAAATGGTTTCATCCCATGCAGCCAGAAATCAGGCCATATTTGTCATTTTCCACTTTTAAAATCAATAATTTATTGCATGAACAAGTCTTATTAAACATATTCTTATCTTAAATTGTTTAATATGAAAACACATGTACAGTAACTTACATTTAATTTAACTTTTTAAATAAATGGAAAATGTGTCCATGGGCCACAGATGGCCCCGCTTGTAAATATGCAGAGTCAACTTCAACATACAGATGGAGGATTCATGTGGTTAAGACCGTTATGTGATTATAAGCATTGTGTATAAGTTTCATCACATTTGTTTGAGGCAAACTAAAGTTAGAGAACGGAAACAAAATATTCAGCAATTTTTATGTTTATAAAGTGGCATAACTCATGAATGGTAAAAGTGACGCCACCCAATTTCGAACTTGATCTGTGTTTTGTGGTAATGAGCATTGTGTGTAAGTTTTATAACAATTGATTAAGGCAAACTAAGGTTAGAGAACGGAAACGAAAAATTCAGCAATTTTTATGTTTATAAAGGGGCATAACTCATGATTGGTAAAAGTGAGGCCACCCAATTACGAACTTGAACTGTGTTTTGTGGTAATAAGCATTACCGGTATGTATAAGTTTTAATACACTTGGTTGAGGCAAACTTAAGTAAGAGAACGGAAACCAATTTTGGGGATGTACGGACTGACCGGATAGACAAACAGACAGGACAGACAGACACACAGACAGACGGATGGGATGGACAAGGGTAACACTTAATGCCCCCTCCGCTACGGCGAGCTATGGCAGGGGCATAATTATATAAACACTTACTAAACAAATTTAAAATTTGAAGTAAAAATCAATACAGAAATTGTCCTTTAACTTTTACTTTTACTATAAATTAACTTTTTATATCCTTACATCTATAAAATAAGAATAAAAGGTGAAATAGTGCTATAAAAGTTTAAAAAAGATCAGAGAATTATTTTTTATTGCATAAAAATTGTAATCAGTGAACCCCTGGGAAATTAACTAGTTATTCATGTGTGTATTATACCTTACTAAAAAAGGACAATTTAGCAGAAATAAAGCCAAATAAGCCTACCATGTAATCTTTGAAACATCAGAGCAATTCTCAAAATCCCAAAAAAATTGTTATTTTTACCTCCCAATGATTGTGTAAAAAGCTATGAACAAGTGTTACTTCTGGAAAAAGTCAAAAGTCAAAATGACAAGAGAGCTTATAAATTCTGTCATCAATAATCATTGAACTGATTCAAATTTTTGTAAAATAACTAAATAGTCTAAACAATATTTTAAACATTACATATGTGACCAATATATATATATATGTAAACCTACCAAAGTGTCTATATCACATTTAATTTCTTACCTATGAAGGGGTCACAGTTAAAACCAATACCTCTTCCAGCACATAGCAAAACTTTCTCAACAAATATCAATATCCAAAAGCGTATATAATCATAAAAAATCTTCATTTTTATTAAATTCAAAAATATTTTCCAAATTCAAAACTACCATAGTATATATAGCAAAATATTGCCTACATCTAACTGACTTAATTCTCTATAGTCATGATCATAAATGGGCCGTGGAAAAAATCATTTGCATGAATGAGCAAAAATTCTTATGAATCAGCAATCAATATACTGAAACTGATCAAAACAAGAAAATCTTTTTCACGTCAATTTGGCTGAATGAAATTGACTTTACATCTAATGTCAAGTATTTACGATTCAATGAAAAAAAAACCAACTAGGTAATCAATTGTAAAATAACTTTTAGAGTATCTTTACTAATAAAACAAATAATGCAAGAAGGCTTTAAAATTTTTAAACACTTTTGTGGTTTTAAATGGAGTATTGTTATCGGAAGTTCTTTACAAAAAAAAATGTAAAGTAACTCATTCATAAAAGGCCCATAATAATCTGATTGAGGATCTGAGGTCTAGTGTGTGACAGGAAGAAGTATGTGGTTTTTACATCGCGATGACCTTGAGGTCATCCCGATGTATTGCTATCGCCTAGATTTCCATTATGTAAATTAGTTTTGGGTTTGTAACCGATCTATAAACATGATAAATACGCGCACATAAACGAGTGCAAAATAACATTCCTTATCGTTTGATATAAATACATCTCTTCAATGAATACTGATAAACATATTTTTGTTTACAACATAAATTAATAATATGAAAATGTTTTGTAGTTAGATATATATATATAAGTAAAAAATCATTGATAATATCAATGCACACGTACCGAAAAATTGTGTTAAAGCATGCGGAAGAATATCTCAAAGAACGTTTTGTGAAAATACCGTCAAGGACCGGTAACTCTGTAATTGATTTTGCGGGAAAATATGAATGCCTACTCGTATCCAATCTTAGAAAAATCGAATTTTTACAGAAAAGTGTCCACCATGCACTTGCATTGCACTATTTTTAGAATAGTAGAATAGAATGATATGCAAATGGATTCAAATCATATATATATGTAACTGTTATTTTAATATAATATAAACAACAACTCAGTGTATACTGATTTGTATCACTACACTATAATAGTTATTACGGTGAAGTTGAATTTCCTGTCATTTATTCATCATCCACGCACGAACTTGTCTCAGAAAAAAATATATCTCTGTACATTAACCTCAGTTTTAGGTAAAGAGATATGTTGTTTTTTTCTGAGACAAGTGCTTTTGACCATCCTCAAGAACTTGTGGTCATCCGATGTTCAGTACTTCAGTACTTTGATTACATATTATGGTTCAAGATAACTGTATTATAAATTTTGCCATAAAATTTTCTGGATGACTTGCATACACTTATAGTTGGCAGCGGGCAATTTTGAATCATTAAATAACCGAATTTTGTTACATCATGCAGTGATAAATTCATAATCAAACATTCTAAAGGGAAACAAATCATATACTCATGTCTTATAAAATACAAAGTTAACCAAATGTAACTAAGGTTCAAAATATAGAATGCAATATTCATATGTGACTAGCATTGTGAAAGTCACTTTCACGTAAGGCCGGCCATTGTATTCCATAGTTTCAATGATAGTTAGTCCTTTATCATTGACAGAATACGTTAAGCTATTTATCTATGGCAGTCAAGGTAACTCAATGATTGAGTGAAAGAAACATAAGATATAAAAATATGGGGGTTACCAAAAAAGAACATTTTTAGTTAGGTGGGCAAGCTGAAGTTTTTGAACTGACACTTTAAAATTTAAACTACAGATTTTAATACCAAATGACACACAATATATCTTCCATTGAATTATATGTAAAATAAACACACACACTGTACTTTTAATAACCCTCACATCAACTTGGAGCGTTCTGTAAGTGGCATGTTACAAGGCAAAATTTCAGCCTGTATTAAACCTACCCTTTTTCTATGGAAGTCTTTATTGTCTGCCTTTCATACTTATCAACCGTTACTTTGCAGAATCTGAATTTATTCTTTATTTGTTCTCATACTGAATATGCATGTAAAGTTGTCACTGGACATTAAGCAAACAATCATTTCTTATTCTTCAGATTACTTAAGCTAGAATTTAAAAAACAATTTCTATATGGCTTTACAACTTGTACATTTAGATTTTTGGAGTACTGTTGAAAAGTCAATTTACTACCAGCCAGGTGACTTTCAGATTACAGTTCAATGATTAATTTCCGAAAGTGCTTAAAATACTTTATTACCCTGGGAATATGAATGTTACTGCCCTTTTCCTAGATATGCTTTTTCACCTATGTCATACCTTTTTGATACACCCATATAATGATTAGACAGCTAAAATTCTGGAACATTGACTGTATGTTACACAACTTGGTGACTTACTGCAAAGGAGGATGAAGGAAGTTTTACTAATGAAGCCTAAGCTTAAATTTTTATTTTTATTTCTTTTACTGATATTAAAATCAAGGATTGTGTGTACTTTCGAATATTGATTGTTAAAATGGAAAAGATGACTGTTCTTTATAATGTGCAAAAAAGTGCAACTGATGAATTAACATAAATGTGTTAATTAGTAAATTCTGTTTGATGACATTTTATAAAGCTAAATCATATTTTTTTCTGTTTGATGACTAATTCTGTGTATAAAGTAATTATTAATGTGCATATTACATCTTTAAGGTAATCAGTTTCATATAATCTTCAATTTTTAATTCTATGTTTTGAACAACTATATATTTAAGCTTCATTTTTTTTTTTTTTGGAGAGCATAGTGTCTCATTGGCAATCATACCACATCTTCTTATATTTATCTAGAAAAGTTGAACATCACTGCAAGACTTATTCTTCAAAATATGAAATACTGCAAGGTAAGTTTTACGATTCTCTCAAATTCATTAAAAACAAATTGAAGACATCTTTTACAAAATTTTGTCGGGTACTTCTCATCTAGACTGGTCTTGATTTCAAAAAATTATTAAAGGAGATAGTCTGTAAAAGTATTATAAATCTTTCAATAACATACTTTAAATTTTAACATTTAAAATAAGAAATATTTTGTTTTGAGCTTTTGAAATTCTTACAATTGAGAAGGAAATGTAAAAACCGCCACAATACCCTCATTTTGAGATCTTGTCATTAAATATCTAAATGTGAGCAACATTAATACCCTAAAAAAAAATCTAGCTCGAAAATGTTGAGAAAAGTAAAAATTCTTTCTGGGTAAGGCTACTGGTTATGGAAAATTGTGGGTAAAATTACCTTAATCCCTCAAAATCTCAATTGAAACATGAAACGAACGTAATCTATGTATTACTGGTAGATTATTAAGCCAGGGATTTCGTTACCACAAATTACTTAAAACCTTTACTAAATTCTTCCACAGATATAAAGATTTGGTTTTGAAGTTTGGTTGTACCTGTAGAAAACTTATTTCAAACGGGATTGCACATCCTCGTTTTTACGGCAATATTGTTTACCGTGCCCGGAAATTTAGAAACGATCCTGGTAAACTTATCAATCCTTAAAATAAACTTATTCTAAAAGGTTACCAATTCAACACTGTTATTAGATCATTAAATATTGTTTTTATTGGTACTAATATTGATTTTGTTATCAGTAAATTAAAAGCAAACTAAATATTATTGTTATATACATATACACATTCAAGGATCTACAATCTGTCAATACCTGTATCTTGGCATTGCACAAGGTCATGTTTTTCTCTGACTGTTTATGACGTCATTACACTAAATCCATTGGATGTTGGATGTGTACTGATTGATAATTTAGTCATAGATGCATGATTTTTTTTATTTGTTGTTAGTGGCTTTGAACTAGCTGTCAGTAACTGCGAGTACTCTCAGATCTGTACTTAGTGTCTTTTTGTTGTTTGGATGTACAAGTACCCGGCCACGTCCACTTGTATTTTTAGTATTTGTATTTTTATCGCTCTGATGAGTTAAGCCTCTTTCAACTGATTTTTATAGTTAGTTCTTATATTGTACTGTTACACCACTGTCCCAGGTTAGGGGGAGGGTATTCTTTATTCTGTATAACATTCTGTATGTATGTGCCTGTCCCAAGTCAGGAGCCTGTAATTCAGTGGTTGTCGTTTGTTTATGTGTTACATATTTGTTATTCATTCATTTTTTGTACATAAATTAGGCCGTTAGTTTTCTCGTTTGAATTGTTTTACATTGTCATTTCGTGGCCTTTTATAGCTGACTGTGCAGTATGGGCTTTGCTCATTGTTGAAGGTCGTACGTGACCTATAGTTGTTAATTTCTGTGTCATTTGGTCTCTTGTGGAGAGTTGTCTCATTGGCAATCATACTACATCTTCTTTTACATATTTTGACTTCACAGGGACATCATAAGTGACATTTCTGTAACAAAATGGCAATTTTATAGTATCTATTTAATCTATCATTATAATTAACATACTTTTTAAAGAATTGAATTTTACTAATTTTTTTTAATTATTGGCTCTTATCATATATCTTCCTTTCAGAAAAATGAAGGTGCTATAACAGGCACCAACAAAGTGATTACAGACAGACAGACAGACAGACAGACAGACAGACAGACAGACAGACAGACAGACAGACAGACAGACAGACAGACAGACAGACAGACAGGTAAAACACTTTGTTGTATAGGGTATAATTACATAACATTACCTGTATATATTAAAACATAGAATACAAGTATTATAACCAAGGGTAAATTCTTAATCATTCTTCAACTCATGTGTCTAGTTTGGTATTTTCAGCCTTCCTGAAAAAAAAAATATACATACTAACACTGTATTCCTTATACTTTTTAATAGATTTAAGACCTAATGTTTTTCTTTAAAATGGACATATCCCTGTGCTATGTAAATCAACTGCCTGAAAAAAATCCAACCCTTTCCACTCCCAAGAATTTACAAATGTCAATTGAATTTCAATATGTGGTGTAGAATGCTTCCTATGTGGTATTAAAATTTTACATTTTTTTTTATCCTGACAGAGATCAAACTCGCAATTTCCTGTACTCTAGACAAGCACACTTCTCAGAAACTATAGAGGTGGTTCAATATCAAATAACTATGCCAAAATATGCATTAGCTAATTTTTTTATGAATAGGATTCAGCCTTGAAATTCCAGTAGAAAAGAAATATTCAAAGTTGTTCAGTATATCTGTAGGACCAAATGGCTTATATTGACTACATATATTATACTTCTGTAAAAGGAGGTAGGTAGATGGAATGTTTGAATAAAGAGTTTCCAACTACTCAACATGCACTCTTATTTCAGTATCAGTCAAAATTGTCTTACTCCTAATTGCATGCAGCTAGAATCTTGCAGTGAAAAAATTAAGCTTGAATGATAGTAAAAAAAATGCTTGCATTTATATAATTTGCTTGTCCAATGTTCTGCAATTATCTACTAGGTTGCAACTAGTTAGAATGAAATACTGTAAATTCTGAAATTATTGCGATATTATCATTAATACGAATAATGCAATCGGAAGAATACCACAATGATAAGAACTCATGTTCTGAATTTGATATATATATATCTATATGCAGATTTTCCATCAATTAATCTCGCAGTTATGTCCATTCTTAAAAAATCGCAATAATAAATGCTGCTGATGCAAAAATTAAAATAAGTATTTAAGAGATTTGCATGCAGCATGCTTGCATCAATTTAACTTAGGAAAAGCCTCCTACAAATATCTAGTTAAGTTTGGAATGGTTCAACCTGTTTTCTTTAACTTGTTCATGTTCTAAAAAGAAACTGAAACATTGCCAGCTGAGGCTGAAGTGGCAAGCAGTTAATTAATCTTTAATAACTATGATCATCAAAGGTAGACTGTGATTTTGGGGAGTGGTTATGATGTATAGGTTCCCCTCCCATATAAGATTTCAATACACTTTTTTCCTTGTCCTGTCAAGAAATGCAAACTTTTTATTTTCTGATTTGCCTTGAAAATTCCACTTCTGCTGCCTCACGACAACAGCAAGTATAGGTAATGATAGATCAACTAAAACCTAGAGATGTATAAATGACTAAGATCCCATCAGTCTTCAATCACTCCCATTAACAATCAAATCTTTTCAAAATTAATCAATCAAGGAAAAAATTACTTACAACAGCATATTTGAAGTTCCAATATTTACTGAGTTTTATCCATCCCTGTATCATTATCTGATATTGGAAAATAACACTTGTACTTAATCAACTTTTCTGTACAAATGGACACGAAGAAGATAATGAGAAACAGGATATAAGTATGCAGGAATATTTTCTCTGAGAAAGTTTCACTTCAAATTTATAAACAGGCCAACTATATAACCCAAAGAATGTAATTCCACGATATCAGACTAGGACTACTCTCTGGAAAACTAATGCAATTAGTTAAGTTATAACCTTAGTTCTTAGGGTCATTATGCATGCATTTTTATGGAATTTTACATAAGACGTTGGATCTCATCAACATGACTCAATTTCGAGTTTGCAAATTAATAAGTAAGTACTTGCCCCTAATGGCTGTTTAAATGTTAATCTTAAGAATATAAAATAAGGAGATGTGGTATTGATTGCCAGTTAGACAACTATCCACCAGAGACCCAATGACTTAGATGTTAGCAACTATAGATAGCCTTACAGCCTTCAACAATGAGCAAAACCCATATTGGATAGCAAGCTAAAAAAGGCCACACATAACAAAATTTAAAACAATTCAAATGAGAAAACCAATGGCTTAATTCATGTACAAATCAACAGACAAAAAACAAATATGATATATATAACAAACAACAACATCTGAATTACAGGCTAATGACTAAGGAACAGGCACATATAGAATATGGCAGGCATATTTACTGTGGCCCAACCCTCCCACTAACCTGGGACTGTGGTGCAACAGCACAGCATAAGAACAAACTGTAAAAATCAATTGAAAAAATCATATCAGATCGATAAAAAGCAATCAAACAACTAACAAAAACACTAAAGACCAATCTGAGAGTACTTGAAAGCTTAAGTTCCAAGCCAATAACAACAAATAATAAAACCATGTTTCAAGACAAAATATCAATCAGCACACATTCAATGCCTTTGGTGTAAAGATGTCATAAAAGTTTATTATGTAGTGAATTAGTGTTGGCTGGTTGCTATTTTGTTAACATTTAACCCTACAAATCTCTTAAACATGTATTCATATTTTCAAATTTAAATAGAAATGGACCCAAATTGTTTTTGGTCATCTCTGAGTCAGAAAAATGAGTCCAGGTTGAGTGAAAAAAAACTATTATCTTTTATTCTATAATCATGTTGAAATCTGTACATACTGATAGCTTATTAAGACATATTTTATAGACACCTGTCTTTTGTTACAGACTTTATGTTGACATGTAGATGATTTTTGGTTATTTGTGGTCTTGGGTTGCTTTCTCGTTATTGACATTTGCCCCACATCATCTTAACTTTGCCTCTGGAAAACATCGATACAGTCAAAGGATCACAAGAATTCAATATTCCCAATGTTGAGACTCAATACTCATAAAACCTTTCATCATAACTATCAGGTATTTTAATAAATTAACAGATTTACCTATGAGAAATCAATGCCATAAAATGTATTGCTAATCTTTTTTATTTGACATGAAATCTCCAAGTGCTAAATTTATACAATTGTGGTTGCATGCAATTCAAAAGCAAACATTCCAACCACCCACACTTATACAGAAGTTTTATGAATGAAATTGATAGTAAGGCCACTACACTTTAATTCTCAGATTTTCCAGCCTATATTCCCTTTTACACAGGTTTTCAGGATGAATTAAAACTTTTTATGACTTTCCTCATTTTCTTATATCCCATTCGTATATCCCATTCGTTCATTTTAAATCTCTTTTCAAACACAAATTGTCTTTATATTGATGGAGAGGTTTTTTTCAAATTATACTAGTCTGCAACATAATATATAACAGACAGCTTTTACATTGTTCTGAAATCTGAATTAAAATATCCAAATTAACAGCATTTCATTTGCATGATATTCTTACATATCAGGGCGATAATTAAACTAATTGAGCTGAACTCAAAGTTTATATTTTAAGAAAAGAGGAATGAGTTTATTCCATAAACTGCCATATCCTTTGTTTTTCTATTATATTGTCAGATGACAAATAATTATAGATTATCATGGTTTTTGAAACCAGAGGGTGTTTCTCACCTTCAATCTCATCATAGGGTGACATTTCAGGGATGAGATGTGGCAGAGAAACATCCAGAGTTGGAAAGATCATTGTCAATCTGTTTATCGCTATTTTGCCTATGATGTTGTTGATGTTTACATTGACAACGTCACATGCGCCCTTAGTTTCTTACGATAATTTTCTATCTCAAGCAAGTAGCATGATATGAAAAATTATCACTAAAAGGCCAAAGGAAAAATACACAAAATAGTGATAATGAACATTACTGTAAATGAAATAAAAATTTGAAGCAAATAATATAATTCTGGCCTAACTGTTGATCAAATTATGTAATCTGGCAACTGATCGGTAAACTTCATATTATTTGTTCCATTACAAGCTTCCTTCCCCTTCTAGCAATAAATCTATACATTTTATTGTATTAACCTTTACTGACTGTGGAATTAACATAGCTGGAATAGACATTACTGGTACATAGAAGGTCCTGAGGTAATAGGTGCAGTCAATATCAAAGAGATAGGATGGGTATGGAAATCAATGCTAATTAATATTCATCATAGGTGTTTTGAGTACAAAATATAAATTCATCATATAGAAACTAAATATGAAAAGCCTATATAAATTTAAAACTGACTGCATGATCAAAACATGAATTTTAGCAAAGTACTGATTTTGCAAAATTGACTAATCCGTATGCACTTTATATAAATTTTAGGGTCCCTGGAGAAGAACAGTCTCTTAAATGTCCTTTTGTATAACCCTCCATAAAAGAGTTTCAGTTTTGTTTTTACAGGGTGCATTAATATGCGTTCAATATATATGTCCAGATGCAGATCCAAGATTTTGAAAATGGGGGTCCCCAGGGGTCCCCAAACTAGACAATGTTTGGAGTGGAACAGGTCAACAGTTTACATTAAACATAAATGTAGCTCCACAAGGGAACCCTTCCCCCTTCTAAATCCACCTCTGATGTCCAGTGAAAATATATTGTCAAACTCTATACGTGTTAAAGAATAACAACTAAAAATGCCCTCCCTTTCAAGTGGCAGTAGAAACCTTAACAACTCTTTTCCACCTCAATATGTCTTTAATGCTGGTCAGTAGAAACCAACAACTAATCTCAGACAACTAGAGTTATCTCCCATTACATTACAGGAAAAGTTCATTTATAAATATTCAGTTACTTTTACAATATCTTTGTGGCAAATGTCAGTTATTCTAGACAACTCACTGTCTTTTTTTGCAATATCAGTTTAGAACAATGATACTAAGCAAGAACCAAAAGCAAAAAAAAAACCAGAGAAACCTTGAGAAAACACACAACCACTGCTAAAATTAAATGATGATGTACAAAAGCAAATGAATAGCATGCATAAATTAAATAAATAAAAGAAAAATCATTTTTGGTTCTTTCTGCAAGAAACCCATTATATACATGCAGCTTTACACATTTTTGGTTTGAAAGCTTAATTTTTACACCAAATGCAGTCTTGTCAATTGTATTATAAGTTTACAAAAGTCAATGTCTGTTTATCCAAGCTCAAATAATGTTTGCCATTAATTATT